AAGTGTTTGCTCATGTCCATTCCATGCTAGATGTGTGTGCTCCGTTGCCGGAGTTTTTTCCCCTTAGTGGTATCTCTTGGGTCGGCTCTAGCACCCTGTGGAGCTGCGCGCATATGCACCAGTATAAGGGGTGCCACCAGCCCGCACCCTCTCAGTTCCTTCGTACCGCCTGGGATTGTTGCTGGAATGACCCTTTCTTGCTCTGACAAATCTGTCGGGACTTCAGACCACGAAGCCACCACGGTATCAGCGGACTGACGGTGCCATCAACTCTGAAGCATCTCTCTTCTGGTCCCTCCAACCCCAATGGGGCACCTACCAGCTCCGGTGTCTGGAAGCAGGAGGGAACAGAGGGCATCAGGTGCCTTCCCGGCACCAGGCCCCCTGGCATCATCCAGGGGCAAGCCCCACATGATCCCAGCATCCCAATCCCTGGCACGCCACAGTTCCCCATAATTCTGGCACCATATAGAGGCGGAAGTAGGTACTGCTCCACCATGGTTGCCAAGAGAGGAATCCTCTTCAGAGTCCGAAAGGGAACCCTATGTACCACCAAAAGCCCACCATCAGTACCCAGCCTACGCCCCCCCAGAGCTTCAGTGCCGGTCCCCCAGCAGGTACCTGGCCAGCGGGTCACTGGGCAATGCAATGGCCCTACTGGAATCCCTGGGAGTTTCTCCCAGTACCGAGGCCTTCCTCCCACTTGGTGGTCTCTGAGAAATGGGCTACTGCTCCTTCTTGCTCAGCACTGGATCCCAACTCTGGTACCAACCCCAGTGCCTCTAGGGGACATAGTCGAGGAAAAGGAAGGAACCCCTCCTCTGGTGCAAGCCGCCTCCTCATCCTCCCCAGATGAGGCTGTTGCGGGTCCTAGCCCAGGATGATTTCAGGGCCCATCAGGACCTTCTGAAGCAGATTGCTTCAAACCTGGGCTTGGAGATTGAGGAGCTCAAAGAGACATCATACAGCCTTATTGATATCTTGGCTGCAGCAGCTCCATCCAAGGTGGCCCTGCTCATCAATGAGGTGGTGATGGGGCCAGTTAAGGCCCTATGGCAAACCTCTTCTTCTCTGATCCCCACTTCAAAGAGGGCAGAGAAAGTATTATGTGCCAGCCAAGCGGATTTGATTACCTGTACTCGCTCCCTTACCCCACCCTGGGGGTCCCTGGTGGTGTCTGCAGTGAACTTCAAGCCCCAGCAGCCTGTCTTTCTGTGTGAGAGACTCCAGGCGTCTCATTGCCTGGGAGCCTGGAACGTATTGGCGGATTACCTCAGCAGGTCCTTCTCCTCTCACCATGACTTGTCTCTTCATCTGGAGGTTGTCAGTGTCATCTTCCAAAAGTGGGGCCTCCCTAGGTGGACCTGTTTGCCACCAGGCAGAACAGAAAATGCCATTAGTTCTGTTCACTGCTTGGGCACAGCCTGGGATCCCTCTCCGATGCCTTCCTGCTCTTGTGGGCAGACTACCTACCAAGGGCGCCAGAGCCCTACCAAAAGTGTGGGGGCTGGGCCCCCCCCGCCTCCCCAGGCCCTGGCCAAGCTGGAAGCTCCATTCCCTGCTGGAAGCTGGAGCAGGGCCGGCGAAGGGCCTGAAAGCAATCGTCTACCCAACCTCCCCTTAGCTCCCCACCCAGGGCAGGTGGAGAGACCCAAGACCCCCCACAGCTGCGCATGCAACTCTCCCTGATCCGGCTCCGGCTGGGGCGAGGTGGGGGAGGGGCTCAGAGCCGCAGCCCCGCCATGGTAAGAACCATGTGGGCAGATGTGGGGAGCCGTTGTGGATCTTCCACCTGCCCTGGGTGGAGCTGAGTTCCCCGGCTGGGCTTTATGCTGGCCAGCCCCGGGGCCTTGGGGAGAAGAGGAGGAGGGGAAGGGGGCAGGGTCCGCCCCTGCGAAAAGTAGACGAGCTAGGCCCCCTACTTTCTAAAAGTGGGAGGACCCTGGCCCTCCCTCTCCCAATTCCAATGCCACTGCTGCCTACTGTATGCCTTTCCTCCGATCCTCTTGTTTCACAAGGTTCTTCTGAAAATCAAATGGGACAAGGCAAGAATTATCTGGATAGCACCAGCATGACCATGCCAGCATTGATTTGGCACAATTCTGGACCTCTCGGTGGCAGCTCCATTCCGCCCAGACTTGATTTCACAAGACCACAGCCGATTGCTTCACCCAAACCTTGCCTTCCTGCACCTAACTGCATGGATGCTGCATAGCTGAACCCTGAAGAACAGGCCTGCTTGGAACAGGTTTGACAAGTCTTTCTAGGTAGTAGAAAGCCTTCCACCAGGGCTACCTACTTGGCCAAGTTGAAACGTTTCACTTGGTGGGCTCCGAACAGAATCTCTCTCCATCTCTATCTTCTCTTCAGTCTATTTTGGACTGTTTGCTCCACCTAAAGCACCAGGGTCTGGCACTCTCATCTATTAAGGTTCATTTGGTAGCCATCTCAGCCTTCCACTCTCCAGAGAATGGCAGATCAGTGTTCTCCCATGAAATGACACCCCAGTTTCTCAAGGTGTTGGAAAGACTCTATCCTCAGGTTCACAAACCAACTAACCTCCCCCCCCCACGGGACTTAAACCTGGTCCTGTTGAGACTTATGGGCCCTCCTTCAAGCTGTTAGCATCATGCTTCCTACTACTTCTCTCCTGGAAGGTCGCCTTCCTGGTGGCGATCACCTTGGCCAGAAGGGTCACTCAGATCAAGGCCCTTATGTCAGAATCACCTTACACATTGTTCTCCAAGGACAAGGTTCAACTGCGCCCCCATTCAGCTTCCTGCCAAGGGTGATGGCACAATTCCACAACAACAAGGTGTCTTCTTCCCAAAAGCTCTTAGGAACGATGGCTTCATATGTTGGACATTAGGCAGGCCCTTGCCTTTTGTATTGAGAGGACTAAGCCCATCCAGAAATCCACACAGCTCTTTGTAGCAATAGCGGAAACGATGTGAGGGCTACTTGTGTCAACCCAAAACATTTCTCGTCCTGGATAACTGCCTGTATTCAGGCTTGCTATGAGCAGGTGACCATCCCACCTCCAGCCATCGTGACCATTCATTCCACAAGAGCCCAGGCTCCATCAGCAGCATTCCTCACACAGGTACCAATTCAGGACATCTGCAGAGCCCCCAACCTGGTTGTTAGTTCATACCTTCACGTCCCACTACACCATCACCCAACAGGCCCAAGATAAGGGCGACGGATTCTTCCTAAAAGTGGAGGGAGGCACAAGGTCTCTCGGGCCCCTTCACCTGCCCAGGGTGGGGAGGCCCAAGAGCAGCTCCCGGCCAGTGTCTCCAGCCTCCACGCCTACCACCCAGGGCAGGTGGAGGTCCATAGCTTTCCAAAGTTGCCCATGAGGATGTTACTCTGACCCGGCTCCGGCTTCCAGCCTAGCCTGGAGGTGGGTCCTCAGAGGCTGAAGATCCACAGCTGGGCCATGGTAAGAGCTGCCTGAGCAGCTGTGGGGAGTCACGGACCCTATACCTGCCCTGGACGGGGGGCCTGAGTGGTGGGGACACAGGCTGGGGGCTGCTCTCGTCCCCCCTGCCCTGGGCAGATGGAGGGCCTGCAGCTCCCCATAGCTCCCCGGGCCAGGTTCCAGCTTTGGGGAGGAAGAGGAGGCACTGGGGGTCAGGCCCATGATGAAAAGTGGATGAACCAGGCCCGTCCACTTTCAAAAGTGGGAGGGCCATGGTCCCCTGGCCTCCCCCATTCTGGTGCCCCTGGCCCAAGACGATGCCAATTTTGGGAGAAGAGTGTTGCAGTCAGCACATTCATGAACTTTGAGCCCACTTCCTGGGGTACTTCTTGAAATGGACATGAGCAAGCACTTGAAGAAGAAAAAACAGTTACCTACCTTTCAAAACTCTTGTTCTTTGAGATGTGTTGGTCCTGTCTGTTTCATGACCCACTCTCCTCCCCCTCTGTCAGAGTTACTGGCAAGAAGGAACTGAGATGGCATAGGGCCATTGGTGCTTCTTATATCGGTGCATACGCATGCGGCTCTAGAGGGTGCCAGAGCCAGCCCAACAGATACCACTAAGGGAAAAATCTCTGGCAACAGTGCATGTGGCATGCACACACCTAGCACGGAATGGACATGAGCAACACATCTCGAAGAACAACAGTTATGAAAGGTAAGTAACTGCTTTTTCTGTTTTTAAACCCTTATTACTCTTTGAGGCTACAAACTATAACTGTCATTCAAGTTTTTACTTCCCAGTTTTCTGGTACAAAAAATTTGCCTGGCTAAGGCATTTGGAAGTTTCTTGCAGAGTACAATAACAAATGAATCAAATAAAATGAAGACTAGTGTAAAACGGATGTGAACTAGAATGAGGTTGGGAATCGACTATCTGCTTGTGGACCTATTAGTCTTGCTGACCTAAAACAACCCTCTCCACGGTCCTGGGCAGGCTCTCTCAGTGCCTTTGCATAACAGAACTGTAGAGTTTCTTCTATTGTTCAGGCTATGAACGGGGAACTGCAGTTGATTCCCCTGGTTATCTTTGTAAATTCTAAATTGTAATATCACAGCTGCAACAACTCACCACATTTATTTTTTCTTCTGAGCTTGTGATGTTTTCTTAGCACTGGAAATTTTATTAGCTCATTTATCATGAGCTAATATCATAATTTTGAATCTATATGCATATTCTGTTGTTTATATGTAATGTGATAGCTCTGTGTTGTGAAGATCAGGTTCACATCTGAGCTTCCCCAGAGTTGAGGGGAGTTCAGATGCAGGGTGTTTGTTCAGATCTCTCTCTCTTTATCCTTCCTCCCCTACATAATGTAGCTTGTGTTTAACTGTAATTAGAAACAAAGGAAACAAAATTGAACATAATGAGACATTTAAAATCCATTAAAAGGTCTGCACTGGAAATGGTATGTGAGCTTTGAAAGCTATTCTTAGAAGCAGAATTTAGGTGCAGTTCAGTTGTTGTTCCACACAGTGTCACAGTTGGTCTTTACGTCTTTCTTTCTGGTTGTAGATGAAGGTATTTACAAAGCTGGTGAAAAACGGTCTGAAACGTGGGGGGCAGCGGAAATCCAGGAAGATGAAGACACTCAAGTAGAGGTTCCAGTCGATCAGGTAATCTTTAAGCTTTGAACAAATGACTAATGTGGAAAACAAGTCTTGTGTTTTTCTTTTGCTGCTTCCCTTGATGCCTGCTGCATTTTTTTTACAGGGTTCATTTGTAACGTTCATTGGTACAGCATTGTATACAAGGTTGCACTGCTTTTGAATACATTCCCTTTTCTTGAATGCTTTTTGAGTCCCAGTTATTTGTTCCTGTCAAGAGATGAGCCTCTCCAGCATGTTCCCTTGTGGCCCTGCCTGCACATGTTCTTTTAACCAATTACCAGACTTAGATTAGACCTCTTTGTGGGGTCTGATTTATTAAATCTTTCTGTAAAAGGTGATGTACTTTGTTAGTTACCCTGGTCACCCCAGTCTGCATCCCTATAAAAATAGGCCCTTTAAAACCTTAATGGGCCAAATAACATGGTGGGATGGGTTGACCACTAGGCACCACTGCCCTTAAGAGGGCACACGACCCCATCATAGTTTCCTTTGTGTCAGTGCAAAGTCCTTGCACTCCCAAAATCTACTCAAATACCCCCTGAGTCTTCAGATGATGTTTACTGTCCTGAGGTGAAGTATCACAGTATTGTTTCCAGAAACTGTGCCCCCAATCCCCTTATTTGCACCTTGTCTACATTTGAAAGGGTTTGCCAGTAGAGCTGTACTGGTAGAGTTTTACAAGCAACCCCACTAGTGGAGAAGCAGCTGATACTGGAAAGGGGTTATTCCGCTGGCATAGCTTAAACTAGTTCCCAAAGGGAATAAGCTGTACCAGCAAAAAAGAGTTTTAAAGTGTAGACCATCCCTCAAGATGCCTAGAAAACTTCAGTAGTTTACTAAGACTGAGGAAGGGTGAATAAAGGGGATCTGCTGGTCTCCACCCACCCACCCACTCCGGAAAGCTTCTTGGTAAGTACCTGCCATTTGATACCATCTGGTATATTTCAAAAGACAAAACAATCACTCCTGTGTAATATTTTGACATTCAACATTTTTTTTAAACTGTAATTTATGTCTCCCTTGCATTTGTTCTTCCTCCTTTCCCTTCCTTAGCCCTACTTTTCTTTCTCTTGCATGTCTTGGGTATCCTTTTTTTCTTCCTTCATCTTCATTTTTCCCTGCATTGTGTTCTCTTCCTCCATGTTTTCAGTCTCTCTCCCCTCCCCCTTTCTTAAGCCCTCAACTCTCCCACTATTACTCTCTTAATATAACACTTCAATCCTTCCCTAAACTCCCAAATCTATTCCTCTGGCTCACCCACAAAAACTACAGAGGTTGTTCTACGTTACAGTGATCTTGATTAAGACACCTATGGACCACTAGCCTAGACTATCCAGACCACAGTATGTTCTAGCCATAATGCTTTTCGCCATATTGCTGAAGAAAGGCAGAATTGGGCTGTTCCAGCCTTATGCTAGCAGGTGGAGCCCTGCTCTGTCAGAAGGATTCCTTAGTGCATATATCCACCTGGGTTCTGGTCCCTCTGTGCCAGTGGAGCAGTGTAAAGGGGCTAGACCACTGCCCAGAATCAGGGCCAGGATTCTTGCAGTCTTGTACCACATTAGATTGCCTCTGAATGGCAAAATAGGCTCATGTCTATTTGATTTTGATAAATCTGTACGCACAGTGCTGGAACTGAAGTGGCTAACATGATATTTAGTTGTCCCACTGTTTCCTCAGTAGAGTTGTATGAAATTGGCAGAGCTTGTTATGTTTATAGGCACTATTTCCTTTTACCTAGTTTGGAAAAGAGAGGTATCCACCTCATTGTGTTTTTTTTAAAAAGTAAAATTTTATGTCTTGAGACAGCTCTTCAATTAAGTAGATCTTTATGTCCCTGAGGTAGAGAATAGACCTGGCCAAACTCTTTGCTGCAAACATATCCCTTTCCTGTTTATGAATTGCTCATGAGCCAATCCTGATTTACTTCTCATGTGTATAGAAGTATTTGCCAAAAGTGTGGGCAAATACTTTTTTAGTAGGGCTGTCAAGCGATTAAAAAAATTAATCGCGATTAATAACGCTGTTAAACAATAGAATATTATTTATATAAATATTAGGATGTTTTCCACATTTTCAAATATATTGATTTCAATTACAACACAGAATACAAAGTGTACAGTGCTCACTTTATATTTATTTTTATTATAAATATTTGTACAGTAAATAAAAGAAATTTTTCAGTTCCCCTAATAAAAGTACTGTAGTGAATCTCTTTATCATAAAAGTTGAACTTACAAATGTAGAATTACGTACAAAAAAACCTGCATTCAAAAATAAAACAATGTAAAACTTTAGAGCCCACAAGTCCACTCAGACCTACTTTTTGTTCAGCCAATCACTGAGACAAACAAGTTTGTTTACATTTACAGGAGATAATGCTGCCCACTTATGGTTTACAATGTCACCTGAAAATGAAAACAGGCATTCTCATGGCACTGTTGTAGCTGGCGTCGCAAGATATTTACGTGCCAGATGCGCTAAAGATTCATGTCCCCTCATGCTTCAACCACCATTTCAGAGGACATGCATTCATGCTGATGATGGGTTCTGCTTGATAACGATCCAAAGCAGTGCAGACTGACGCATGTTCATTTTCATCGTTTGAGTCAGATGTCACTGGCAGAAGATTGATTTCCTTTTTTGGTAGTTCAGGTTCTGTAGTTTCCGCATCGGAGTGTTGCTCTTTTAAGACTTCTGAAAGCATGCTCCACACCCTGTCCTGATCAGATTTTGGAAGGCACTTCAGATTCTAAAATCTTTGGTTGAGTGCTGTAGCTATTTTTAGAAATCTCACTAAATCCTCCATTTATCTTCCCCAAAATACCTTTACCTTTTTGTACACTGTGTTTGAGAATTAATCAAAAAGCCTAGTGTTCTTTTATCTGAGTCAAACAAAATTTAGAAAATTTACTAATAAATTAGTACCTTCTTTGTGTTATCAAATTTTCAGTGAAAGTGTTCTTAAAACGAATAACATGTGTTGGGTCATCATCTGAGACTGCTAGAACATGAAATATATGGCAGAATATGGGTAAAACAGAGCAGGGGACATACTATTCTCCCCCAAGAAGTTCAGTCACAAATTTAATTAACGCATTATTTTTTTAATGAGCGTCATCAGCATGGAAGCATGTTCTCTGGAATGGTGGACAAAGCATGAAGGGGCATACAAATGTTTAGAATATCTGGCACGTAAATACCTTGCAATTCCAGCTACAAAAGTGCCATGCAAACGTCTGTTCTCACTTTCAGGTGACGTAAATAAGAAGCGGCAGCATTATCTCCCGTAAATGTAAACAAACTTGTTTCTTTTAGCGATTGGCTGAACAAGAAGTAAGACTGAGTGGACCTGTAGGTTCTGAAGTTTTACATGGTTTTGAGTTCAGTTATGTTAAAAAATGTACATTAGTAAGTTGCGCTTTCACGATAAAGAGATTGTACTATGGTACTGGTATGAGGTGAATTAAAAAATACAATTTCTTTTGTTTATCATTTGTACAGTGCAAATATTTGTAATAAAAATAATATAAAGTGAGTACTGCACATTTTGTATCGTTGTAAAATTGAAATCAATATATTTGAAAATGTAGAAAAACGTCCACAATATTTAATAAATTTCAATTGGTATTCTATTGTTTAACAGTGCGATTAAAACTGCGATTAATCACAAATAATTTTTTTTAGTTAATCATGTGAGTTAACCGCGATTAATCAACATCTGTAGTTTTTAGCATAAGGGACTGTTTGTCTTTGATATGTTTGCCCTCCTTTGATTAGCCACCTAACATAGTATTTCTAATCTTTGCTGGAGAATAATGAATAACATTGACTTGGTAGGGGTTTCAGACTAACAATTATCTCTGCATGTTTTGGGAGTCAACCATTTTTAATAATATCTGATTGTCATTTCAATGCCCAAGAATAATGATTAGTATGAACCTACAAACAGTAGAGGAGTGAAATCAAACCACTTATTAACACATATTTGTGAATCTTTATTGTTATCATTATGTAACCAGCTCTGCCAGAAAGCCTGGTCTGGTTGTCCTTTTTTGTGCTTACTTATCTAGAGGCTAATTTTCTAAATTTTGTTTGACTCAGATAAAAGAACACTAGGCTTTTTGATTAATTCTCAAACACAGTGTACAAAAAGGTAAAGGTATTTTGGGGAAGATAAATGGAGGATTTATGTTATACAGTGTAGTAATTTCAGTATAGGCATTGCTAGTATACCAAAATACCTAGCTGCCACAGAGAATATTAAGAACAGCATTGTTTCTATCAGAAAAAGGAACAGACTCGCCACACCTCCTTTGTTTTGTGCTGCTTTTGTAAGTGGGGTCACTCCTGGTGATTTTCTGGTGGAAGCATTGCTGGACTATCCTGCTGCCATTGTTACTGAGGAAAGGTCTCTGAGAGGCATGAATTCTATATTATGCTCTAAAAGTAGCAAGAGTTTGCTTCATCCTGCTGTCTGATGTAAGGAATTCCACAGCCAAGGTCCTTCCACTGAAAATACCCTGCCACAGCCTCGAGAGTTTCACCTGGGCCACCATCAGCCTCCCTGTTAGTTGTATCTATCATTGTTGAGAGAGAAGCAGCCTTTGTGATAGAGTTAGGCCGCTGTGAATACTACTGTTAGGATAGAACAACGCCTCATGTCCCGTCTAGTTCATCTGTGTTTCTTGTGGCAGCCTGAATTATCCTGTCTTGGTCTTGGCTTGCTAACTAGTAAATTAGTGAGATCATCATTCCATTTACTGACTTCCACAGAGGCTTCCTATGGGCATTTTGGAGTGTTTGACAGCAATGCATTCAGTCATCAGGAACTGTCTTGTTCTAATGTTCATGTTGAATTTATTGCTTGTGAAAGGTGCCAACTTGACAGCGCTGAAGATTGAAATCTTACTTATCCCCTATACTGGTACAGCACAAGCAGCAGCTCTGCAAGCTTTTGCATACAGTCCTGCCAGTGTGCCTCAGCACAACCTGATGGGGCCCTT